GTACACCTCACACAGGGCTCATGAACTGGAGCAGGTTCTACAGTTTGAGTTGAAAGGCCGCCTTAGTTGCTCCTGCCACGTGTTTTCTATAGTACTTCTGTACTTTACACTGAATTTTAATTTGGGGTGGTTACTAGCTTGCTCTTTAAATAGCAGGCAATATGGTTAGTCTTCCTTTTGCTATCTGCTGTGATTTAATGAGTGGCTTATCTGAAAATGAACAGGTGATTTTTCTGCCTTTGAGGTTCTTTGCTTTATAGATGATTTATTCTGTACTTCCGTACTGTTGTGAAAAGTAGGCAGAAATACTCTTGAATCAATGTTTTGTATTGTGGCTTGAGTTTAGTAGGCTTTTTAATGCCTCCACTTTTTTGTAGTGCATGGGTTGATACAGAGTGAGAAAGAAATGATTCGTTTTAAAACCATGAGCAGCTACAGTGCACAAATTTTCAAATATAGGGAGGCAAGTTCCAGAAATGTTTGGAAATTCTTAAGTTGAAATTGTATCCTAAGCTAGAGCTTGTGTAAAACAAGTGTGGGTTTTTTCATACTACTTTCAACAGGTGAGACTATTATAACTGAAGTAGGAAGGTTTTTCTTGTGACCTTTGCCTTAATGATTTTGATAATCTTTCTACTAGTTTTTCTACATTAGTTTTTCTTTGTGTGCAAAAGAATCCATGCAGACAGCAGGAGACGATCCTTCTTAAACTATTGACATTGTCAAAACTGTATAAAGATACGAGTCTTGAATAGTCCTTGGATTAATTGGTTCTTAAAGTTTCATTTCTTTTCCCCTGCTGTCTCTTGCACTATGGTACCCCCCATCCTAGTGGACAGGGTAGCCTGGGTGGTTTTCGTTGCCACATGAATGGATTGGGGGCAGTGGGCAGTAGAAATAGAGACACAGCTAAACTCCTGCTTTTTTTCTTAGCCAGTGGTGTCACTATATGGGGAAGGAAGCAGAAACAACTAGTAGCTGTTTTTTTTCTCCAAACATCTAGTTACAGTCAGTAAAAGCAGCAAGTCATTTCTAGCAGGTCAGGCTTTACAGGGCAGAGCATTCCGGGGACAGGCTCCTGTTATGAGGCAGTACATTTGGAACACTCTCAAGCTGCAAATTATTTTTGCCTTTGTTACATCCATCACATTTCTTTTATTTTTTAAATAAAGTGTAAGTTTTTGTGTCTAGGTTGTTTCTTGAGCTGATCATGGTGCCCTTTGAGGAATTAGATGGATTACTGGAAGGACAGTCTTCTGAAACTAGGGTTTGATTTTCATGCATTGATTTGGGAAATGTGTATGAAAGAAGATTCAAGTCTAATTGAACAAGTGCAAATGTAAAGTACATGGGCGTCTTACTGAACAGTTTCCCCTTCTAACAGTGAAAATCCATGTGGAACTAGTAAGGCTGGTAAGTTTTAGATTTGCCTGTCTTTAAAACGTGGTTTTGACACATGTAACTATGATACCGAAAATTATATAAAAAACAGCTTTTAAATAGTCATTTGGTATTCTAAAACCTTATGAAAATTTAAAAAGGCAACAAAGTTTTGATGCACTATTCCAAGAGATAGTGATGGAGGTGTGTGTGAAAGAGGGCAGAAAATGCATGTAATATATATGCATATACATATATGTGTATCTATATGTATGTGTGCATATATATTAAAAATATTTGCATCTCAATTTGATGCATGTTTCAGCTGTAGTTCATCCTGAGCTGGAAATATCTGTGTGTACTGACCTCACTGCTTTTACTGTGTTTTTGTTGCTATTGCAGAGAGTGCTGTCTGTAACAGCAGAGGAACAACTCACAGTGATCTGCTCGATCTTCTTCCAAACCTCTTGTTTATTCTTGCCTTATTAACCTGAGTTTCAGCCTCTCGTGTCCTGTAATTAATGACTTCTCCAAGCTACCATATTCTTTACTGCATCCTCCCTGGCTACTTCAGCGCATCTAGCTGATTTTGCTTTTTCCTGCCCTCTGGCAGTTTCTTTCTCCTCGGAATTTTTTTTTATTTTTCCTCAAATTGCAGCTTCGTTCTTGGGATGCCTTTTAAGACACTTTTTATTTTTTTTGCTGCCACTTGTTTATTGTCGTCTTCTGTCCTGCTATGAGCTCTTCCAGTTTCCTGGTTCTCTCTGGTTGTGTTCCTGAAATACGAAAGCTGAAGTGCTGCTTTCACACTGGCTTCTTTGTTCTTGTTATGTGGGACTGGCTCCTTTTTCTGGAGGACTTGTTGCTTCTTGGTATGTAAAGTAAAGGATATGGAGTGCCTATCTTAATATTGCCTCCTCTTTTCCTCCGTCATCTAATTTTTTGAGCCTTCCGGTGGTTTTTTTGTGAGTATTGGGTTTTGGAAATTGTTTGGGTTTTTTTTTTTTTTTTAATCTTTCATTACCTCTTAAAACCAGCTTTTCCTGAGTTTTAATGATAGGACTGACTTTGTTCATCAAGAGTCTTTGCACTTATTCTCAAGAAATGTAATTTGAAATTGAAATGAAGCTTTTTTAAAAAGTCAACTCACAGACACCTCTCTCCTTCTGTCTTTTATCTGACAGTTTTTATTTGTACTGTGATTTCTCAGCAAGTGGGGATGTTAGCTGAAGTATGTCTTACAGCTTGAATGGCTTTAAAAATCAAACATTCTGGCACTAGAACTTGCCTTTTGTGGAGATTAGTAATGAAAAGTCATAGTCTTGACTTGGTGTTGGAAAAGGTATCTGGCTACCAGTGTCTTGAAGGACAATTTTTCTTCTTTCATGTTTCCTGGAATAGGAATCAAATTAAGAAAGGAAATACCTTCTTGCCTACTCTTTGTATTTTGTTGGAGTAAGGCTTAAATTTTGTATTGCTGAAAGTCTAGTTATCACTTTGCACGCCTTTAAAGATTTGGCCTTTTTTTTTTTTTTATCTTCTGTGTTGTTTTCTTCCTTAACTGGGAAAGTGGATAGATCTGTGTAAGTTGGTCACTTCACAAGTATCTTGGAACTTTAAAGTAATAGAAAAATAAGAGATAAATTTTCAAATGACATCTTACTTTCCATTACACTGTCAAATGAAGGTACTTTTATTCTTCTATTTTGCTTTGTGGCAAACAATTGATTACGTTTTTGGCTTGTATTCAAGGGCTCTATTTTTTCTTTATTGTGAAGAGCAAAATCAAATTATGTAACGCAAAACCATTTTTACTATGATTTGTGGGGGATATTTCAAGGTAAAAATGATTATGTGAGTGTAGGAAATGTTGAAGATCTCCATGGTTTTTTGCACTATATAAATCATGACAATATAATGATTCTATCTTTAGTAAGCCAGAGTTTAAACAGGAAGTTAAATTTATGGAAAGAATAGAAAATAATACTTAGTGAAGCAGAGTACCTAATTGTGTGCTGTGATGTAAAAGGAGGAATTAAAAGTAGTAGAAAGTAGTACTGGGATATCCTGGCTTCTCTTCCTGCTTGGAAGACAGGAAGGAAGATTGGAGAAGAGAGAATGAATGGTCCTGACAAGTCAATGTGGATTGTGCTTCCAGGTCTAGTGACTAGTAGTACAGAAGTGTGCAGAGTACCCGTAAAACTTACCATTGCATACGGTGTAGTTTTTGCAATTGGTTATTTTATGATGTGAAATTACAATAGCAGCTCACAGAGTATCTAGAATTCACTGTAGTTCCAGAGTAGGCAGAGCGGCCTAGAAGGTGGTGACATATGCATTGAATTTTGGCGTCTTCTGGTGTGTCTGCTCGCATGCTTATGAGTGCCAGACTGTAGGCCTGTTATCTAAAAACAAACCTCCTCAAATCCTTTATTCTACTATTCTCTTAAAATGCTCTACAGGGAGTAAAGTAGAGTAAGAATGTCATGCTGTTCAGGTGATGCAGGGGTTCTGAGGAAGATGTAGCTCTCTTCCCTCAGCTTTCTGTGTTCAGCCCTTCATGGATGTTTCATCAGCTCTGACAGTTCCATGTGCAAGTTTTAGTTTCTCTCAATTTCTGAATGTGAAGCTAATACTTGTTCTTGGGGTTATGGTCAATACTGGAAGACAAAGTGGTGTCTTTTCTGAATGCCTAGGTTCATGGCTTTTTGAAAGTGTTTTGTAACAAGTTTCCACACATGTGAGATGTAAAGTCATGGTGATGCTAGTTACCAAATGAAGTTTGGGGTTTTTTTGTTTAGAGTCACACTTTCACATTTGAAGAGCTGAACATCCTACCTGTATCCTACATGTTTTGAATATAGGATATGCCTCCTGTAAATTCAGACTTAAAAAAAGAGTATTTAGATCTGGCACTGCAGAATCCCTTTTTGTGCTTAATGGTCTTAACAGAGTGACATTAGTATGGAGAATAGTGCCGAGGATCCTCCAAAACAGTTGGTGTAATTAATTTTAGTAAGTATATGGTATGGTCATAGCAAGCGAAATGGTAAACATCTCAACTAAAGACATTGGCAATGCCTGTGTAGAGTGGCATAATTTGAAAACTTAGTATTGATTTGATCACCTTGATGGATGAAAATTGTCATAGTTTTATGCACATTCTTTTAAGATTTTAGGATTATGTCAGTCTAGCTATCTGTAGGGCTGTCCTCATATTTCTGTTTGGTAAGCAGATACTCAGGGTAATTGAAATCAAGCTGCAGTCATTTCTATTTTATATTGGTTTTGTAAAATAGCAAGTTCCCATACTGTAAGTTGTCAGTGCCTATACCATAAGTTAACAAATACTAATTTTTAGACACAAATGGAACTTTGACAGCAGCCTTATCAAAATCTGGTAAATCGGTGAATACAGGTTAATTCACAAGAAAGATAGCTTTGAACATTGCCTGGAAAGGTCTGCCTGTTAGTCTGTTTGTTTCAAGGGCCAGCTAGCATCCTGGTGATAAATAGTGTGGAATGTCAGTAATCGATCAGTTGTCTGAAATGTTGTCTTTTTGGTTAACTGCTTAAATTTAAGAATACATTCTTAATACTTGTTTTCTCTGTTTAGCTCTTTTCACTGATGGAGATGAAACCTCCTATTTCCCGAGCAAAAATGATTCTCATCACAAAGGCTGCCATTAAAGCTATTAAGGTAAGGTGCAATAGAACAAACATGAAACTGTAACAGCAGCAATGTTTTATTATTTTACTTCTAAGTAAATGCATCTCTGGATTTCCCAGTCTTAGCTTCATGGATGTTTTATTCTAGTTGGCATGAAGAATGTTATCTAGAAACAAGTGGGTGGTGAATATCATCTCTTGGTTTCAGACTAGTAGCATAATGTCAGCTTGATTTTTTTTGAATCCTTGCTTTTTTAATGCTACGCCTACTAGGGTGTTTTGATTTCTGTATAATAAAATTTTAAATGTTGCAGGATGCAAATGCACCTTAGCATATTAAAACAGAGCGGACTTGCTTAGAAAGTAAATCCAGAAAACTCTCACTAATACTCGAGAAGCAGTATGTCTTTTGTGTACACACTGACACACTTCTGACAGAAAGGATGGCTTGTTTCTCTCTGTCCCCCCCATGAAATCTTTTTCTCTGTGCTTGATTAACTTAGCTTGATAACGTATTTCTTTTTAGAATGTGATTACAATATTTTATAGTCTTTCCTACATAGTAGTAAGCACAAAGAGTTTAAAAACTTCCCAAATTATATGCCACTGTCGAGTAGATGGTAAATTAATTTATGTATTTATTTTCCAGCTCTACAAGCATGTTGTCCAGATTGTAGAGAAGTTTATCAAAAAGGTAAAAAATAAAAAATTACTGATAAAGATATTGTCTGCATCCATTACTAGATATTATTAATAATGCTAGTAAATAATCAAAATGGCTTCTGTTCCTCAGGGATTGAGGGAGGAAATTCTGTTTTGTTAGGATTTTGTAAATTTTGATATCTCTTTGCCTATATAACCTCCTCACTTTAGTTTTCTGTGGTACATTAAGAAGGAGAGAAAAAAAATTGTGAAATTCTTCCTTTGTCCTCTACCCAGCAACTGGGGAGGAAACTGGAGGTACTGAACTTCAAATTAATTTTCCCTGGTTAAGATAATACATATTTTCAGAAAATACAGTCTTCATGTTAGCCTAGGCATGTAGAACAAGCTAGAATGTAATGCTCACTAAAACAAAACTGTCATGCTGCCCAAAGTAAGTTCTCTTGAGTGAACAGGAAAAATACCCGTTTTCATTCAGAGTCCGTCAGAGACCTCCAAAGAGAAGGACTTTGCATTAAATTCTGGAGAACAGAGTTGGTGGAAGTAGTTCAGTGCACTGAGTGTGTGGTAGCCTGATGGCAGAGTTGTGACAGTCTGTACTATAATGTGATAGACTTGTTGCGGTCACATGTTGTCAAGCTAAAGGTACTTTAAAAGCAGTGACTGAGCTGATAAAGACTGCTTGAAGCTATCCAAGTGTATTTAGTCTGTCCCATGCATGAAACCGTGTTTTTCTCCTTTCTTTTCCATTTCTATAAACAAAACAAAAGTAAAGCACTAAGAGAATTCTTCATAAAACAAATGAAAACAAATTAACTTTTTTTTTTTCCTGCCCAGGTATACAGAGTATAGATTTTGTGTAAGGATCTAAGGTGAATGCATGTTACCTTGCTAGTGTCACTGCATAATGAAAATTTTTTTTTTGTTTTCAGTGCAAACCGGAATACAAAGTCCCTGGATTGTATGTTATTGACTCTATTGTTCGTCAGTCCCGTCACCAGTTTGGAACAGACAAAGATGTTTTTGGGCCAAGATTCTCTAAAAATATTACTGCCACATTCCAGTATTTGTATCTCTGTCCATCTGAAGACAAGGTACAACTATAATTTCTCAAGTGTTGTTGTGGTAACAGTGCTCCCTTGGTGTTTCCACTTATGTGAAAGCTGATTCGATGACTCTCTGTGTCTGTGGCAGTGAATGTTATTATATGAAATGGTAAAACATACTGAGAAAGATTATCAAAGTTAAATGAAGGTTCTCATTAAAATGTTTATTTTGCCTAAATTCATCAGTTTTGTTTTGCCTATGTAGACACTTCAACAGCATGTGTGACTTTTCCAAAACCTTTCTTCTTGAGGCTCCTTCAGCAAAACTTAGTGTGGAAGGTGGTGTCTCCTACAAAGAGAAAGTGTAATAGGAGAAGCTCTGGTGTTGTAGGCAGTGAAGGTTCTGCTCCCAAATATTTTCTAAGAAAGTCATAATCTTGATTCCTTTAGGCTTTACAAATCCCACACGTGAGATTTTCATGCTCTCCTTTGTCAAGACTGTTTTTAGGCCTTTGTTTTCTTAGTTTTACTGTACTTGCTGATAGACAGAGGCTCAGAAAGCATCCTGATTTCATGATGGTCCAGGTTGCTACCAACAGAAGATGGCTTTCATGCCCTCTGTCAGAGTCCCAAGATAAGTGTGGTTTAGAAGTTGCCAACTGGTTTCAAGAAGATGACCTACTTGCTCTTTTTCTTAATTGTAGTACTGCAAGAGCAAAATACTCTTTTTCTAACTGACTTTTTCCCTAACTTTCTAACTAAGCTTTTGAAAGGCTCTGACGCTCTGTAGCTTTCTAATGTGGAACGTTTAGACCTTTAGGCCTTGAATCTGATATTCTAGAACTTCTGGGTTAATACCCTGGTGAAATAGAGCAGTCCCTTCTTCTTTCTGTCTTTGTGGTTACTGTTTTGTTCATCTAAATGAATTAGACTATCCATCCCCATTATGGAACTACCTGATATCTCACTGCTAAAATAATTAAGGTGCTTTCCATGATGCTGTTTATAACGTGCTTGCTTTGATAAATCTGATCTGCGGTTACACAACAGCTGTGATTGATATCCAAAGAGAATGATCCTACTTTTATTTTTTTTTAAAAAACAGCCTTTCTGTAAGATTAATATGTCAGTGAAAACAAGACGATTAAATTTATTCATTTTTTGGCCTTCATATTATTTTCAGGTATCCTGGAGAGAGAGAGAATACCCAAAGCCAAAAATGCTGCTGTTTTAGAGTTAACTGGTTTTCAGGCCAAAAATCTTATTTAAAAATAGCCATTTCAGGTTTCTTTCTAACGATCATATTGTAGAAAACATTTTGTAAAATTCTTTAGTTGCTTAACTTAGGAAAGTATAGGTGGATTTGCATGGGTGTATATAACTGAGTCACAGTAAGGCATTTTATTATTGAAACAAGAAGGAACAGAATCGGTTCATTCTTAGCAGCTACAGTAGAAGTAAAAAGTACTTAAAACGTGTATGTGTGCCAGCCAGATGACTAAGTGTACAAAAAGGACAAGTATGTCAGTATAACGTGTGTTCTGACTCTTACCTGTTCGCATGTTCCAACTCTAGTTAGATGTTACTGTTTAATACTAGGCCAAAGAAGGACTAATTTTCAGCTTGTTCCTGAAAGCTTCATTGTTCTTAATGTTAAAAAAAGAAACAAGCTTAAAATAACAGCTGACAAGCAGAGGTTCTAATTTAATCTTTCTGCAGTGATCAGTTAGAATGTTTTCCACTTGCTTTCCTCATCTTTTAAATAATGAGGCAGATGGGTTTTCTGGTGTCAACATAGAGTTGGTTGGGTTGGTAGAAAAAAATTCAAGCAAACAATCTTCTCTCTAACTTTAAAGTTTTGTTCTAATGTTTTATGGTCTAACTGTTCCTCTCTTCATTAGGGTTTTCCATCTCATCTTCTCTATTTTTCTTGTCTCATTTGTTGTTTGTTTAACCCTTTTATGACCATCTGAAGAAACGGTGGGGCTGATGTGACTTCCTCTATTGTAAACCAAACCTGGATTTTCTGACTGGCCAGAACAGTTTTAGAAAAACAGCACAAGTCGCTTTTTATTAAGGCAGATAGTAAAATGAACCTGGCAGTTTTTATCTTTGCCATGTGAAAGGTGTTGCTGGACCTATGTGTCAACATAGGGGTTGTTAAATAGGTGTGCCTGATTGTGTTGAATATACTGTTGAAACCTTTCCTCTCAATGTATGGAAGAGAAGTTTGGAGTTTGTGCATTAGGAAAGCTGTATTTAGTGTTGATATTTGCTTTTGTTTCAACAGAGTAAAATAGTGCGTGTCCTGAACCTTTGGCAGAAAAATGGAGTATTTAAAATTGAAATAATTCAGCCTCTTCTGGATATGGCAGCAGGAACTAGTGCCACAGCACCAATGACAGAAAATGCTACTAATAATGAAGGTATGAATGACATTATGAGCTCTTCTTTTAAAAGGGTGAATGGTAGTAGCTTACTTGCTTTCACGTTGAAGTGCCTACTATGAGTTTCAGCAGTAGCATAAACGCAACTTTGTCATAGTGATTATGTGGAGCAGCTGAACTCATTCTAAATAAATGCTGATACCATACTTGAGAAATTATCAGAATGTGAACACTTACTTGGAAAATAAATTTCTATCATGTGTATGCATATATATGTACATATGCACATGCTTTATTTACAGGTGACTTCAATGTCCCCTCTTAAAAAAAAAAAGTATTTTATTTTTCTTTTGGTTGGAAATATTTTTCTGTTGTTTCTCAATTTTATAATTTTGATGTCATCTTTTTAGTGTTAGAATCTGAATAAGTAAAGCGTGATCTTATATCTTAAGAGCTTCATCTTTCCTTGAATCAACTTAGTATCTGAAAGCAACAGCTGTCGGTCTCTTTCAGTATGCAGCCCTGAAACATTTTAACCGGTGTTTCAAATCAAAATTTTTGAACAGTAAGTTGTGCCTGGCAGCAGGCTTTTACACGGGCTACTGGTTGAAAATCACTGACCTAAAGAGTAAAGTAATGACGGCCTGCCCACAGTATTTTCACTGACCTATTTTATGCCACATGAAAAGCTGGAAGTGAGGTTACGGAATTGTGGCTGCGAATATGCATACCACAATTCTGTCTTTCTCTGGAGGGCCTTCTTTTTGAGTTTCCAGTCTGTATTTCAGACTTAGCTTTGGTGACCTCCTTATTTATTGCATTCATGTATGTTGGAGTAGAATTGGCAAAGAAATGTACTGGGGTGAGTGAGGTGTGACAGACAACAAAATAATGATGCACAAGAGCATAAGTGAAATGGTTTCCAGCAGCGTTTAGGAAAGCGTATGCTATTGGCATGTTTTATAAACGTGGCAGGGCAGGGGGAGGGAATGTCTTAGCATCTGAGCTTGGGTGCAGACTGGTAGCTGTACAATTTCATTCTGATCTGAGAGGTGAGTGGCACTTTTTTTTCTATCTTTGTCTCATTGGTAGTAGCCAACAGATTGGTTGCTGTCTGCATAGATTTTTCATGTGCAGAGTTACTGATTTCAGTGAGATTATTCAGATGCAGCAGGGGGGATAATTTGGCCCTGAAATAAATATGTTAATGAATAATAATAAATATATTAATGCATTATGTGAAATAGAATCTGTTTAGCTCATAATGCTACAAAGTTTGTTTAGCCAAAAACAGAGAGAGACATGCAAATTTTCTCCCATGAGCAAGCAAATATCCTTCTGAATATACACAGGAAATCATTCGGGAGTTAATTTATATCTAAAAACAATCACATAACTTTTTGCAGTATTTTTATGTAGCATCTGACTTCTGGGAAAATATTATTCAACACGTTTGTCTCTGCTTGCTGCATATCAGCACTGCAGTTATTTAAACTGCAAACAGATGAGTGGCTTTAAAGTCGTTGGTATTGTGAAGCAAACATATTTGCTTAGTGTCTCAAATGAAAAAATAGTTCCATCTGTGGGTTTTTTTAGCTGTCTCCCTCGTACAGTTTTATAGTAGTCCGTTGAAATGTATCTGCTAAAGAATAGTTACTTGCTCACAGCATGTAGGGATTGATGGTATTACTGGTAATTTACTTTGCCTTAGCAAAATGTTTATTAGAAAAAAGGCACTGTAATCTGAAGCAAAGAGAGTGGGAAAGCTGCACATGTAGACAAAACTAATAGCATGTCTTAAAATGTGGTCTCAGCTTTAGTAAAGCTCAGTGGAAATGGGACCCTTTTCCTGGAAGAATTAGTAAAAATTAATTTTATGGTAGGAGGATTTATCTATCAGATGCAGATTTGGCTTCTGCCTGTGTAAAAGTGGCATGTGAGCAAACCTTAAGAAAGAAAGAATTGCATGTGAAATAGTTTTAAAAAACCTTTAATTATTACCAGACATTTCAGATGAAGTTCAGTTAGTGCTAGAAGACAGAAAATATTAAGAGAAACTCAGTAGCTCTTAAAATGAACATTTAGATGATTGCTTTGAAATATTCATCCAGAAGAATGAGTCCAGAACTTTGTAACCAGAACTGACATTTTGAATGTATTGATACGCATTGCTTAACACTGAGTAATAGGTTTTTTTTTTCTTAACTCTTCCAAAATTGCACAAACATTGTGATCTAAAATACCATGCTGGACTAGCTGTCAGGCCATTTTTCTTCATTTTCTTTCTTAGTGTATATAATGCACAGATGTGAGCAGTGAATGGAGCAGTTAAAGGCAAAATGAATAGAATATGCAATTGGGGTAGTTCAGATAAAACTTTTTGGGTGAAGTAGAGTTTTGTAGATGGACGCTTGTTTTGAGGAGGTAAATGTATGCACTGAAGAGTAAGATGCATGTTTTCGAGTAACATAGCGCTTTCTTAATTCCTATGAAACTCTCAGGCTCGCCGCCCCCTCCAGCGAAGGTTCCTTCAGAGCCCCCTCAAGTTACTGCTAACTCAGTACCTACTGTGCCACAGTTGCCCAGTTCTGATGCCTTTGCAGCTGTAGCTCAGTTGTTTCAAACAACGCAAGGACAACAGGTAACCTGTTTATATTTGGTTCCCTTCTCACTTCATTTTTTATGTTGAGTGGGGGGCGGGGGGGAAATGATGGAAGTGGTGTCCTTGATTTGAAGCAAACCAAAAAGCCTCCCAAAGGTCTTCACTGGAAAACTTGTAATAGGTAAAGTCAGTATTGGAATGATCTGTGACCCTTCTATGCGGTAATTGTGGAACTTGAGGAAAATTCATATATGTTCCTAAATAATTAGTTCTGAATTGATGCAGTTACAAAGTTTTGAGAACAGGTGGAATATATCAAATAAAATGTTGAGTTTTATTGTTCGGTCCATTTAAAAGGTTTGCAGTGTTGAAAGGCCTGAATACTGAAATCTTGGGATCTGATTAATTTTGACACTGAAGTATTTAAAAAGTGACTTTTGGTCTTGCTGAAAGTTCTCTGTAGTTCAGTCAGGCTGTTGTGGTGTTCATCCTGTGCTATAGTCTGGTTTGATGTTGTATCCTACAACTCTTTCAATACTATGTGTTTATATAAGAATATATACTTACTACTGTATGTTTTTGTAGCTTCAACAAATTCTTCAGACTTTTCAACAGCCTCAAAAACCCCAGTCACCTGTCATAGATAACACTGTGATGGCTCAGGTTCAAGCTATTACTGCTCAGTTGAAAACTACAGCAGCACAACCGCCAGAACAAAAAGCTGCTTTCCCACCACCTGAGCAAAAAACATCGTTTGACAAAGTAAGTCTTCATTTGTTCTTTGTTCTTTTAACTTTTTCAGTTCAGCAGAAGACTTTGATGGATGCCTTAATGTCCTCCATTTGTTAGGAGAAAAATGAGGCAAATTTTGTTTCTTCTCTTTCTGTTTGGAGGTTGGCTTCCTGCTTTTATATAGCCTTTGCCTTTTCTGAAGCTGAGTAAAACTGGTTTTGGACAGATTCTGTTTCTGTATTAGAATATAGATTTTTTTTTTTTTTTTTTATTCTAATCTTGTCTTTAATTCCAGAGCTGTTAGATATATAGTAAGACTTTGATAGGATATTTTGGCTGCCAATTATATAAGATACAGAAGAAATAGTTGGCTCAATGTAATTTGTTTCAGAAGCTGCTAGATCGGTTTGACTATGATGATGAGCCGGAAGCAGTAGAAGATTCAAAGAAAGAAGATTCAGCTCCTTCTCCTTCAGTTTCGCAGCCAGCTTTGTAAGTTTTCTGTCGTAATAAAATTAACAAATCTTTGTACTAAAAAATCTTCAGGTTAGAAAGCTGATTAAAATTCCAAGTTACTTCAGTGCTTAACTGAATAGTCTGAAGTTAAAATGCTGTTAACAGCTTCTGGTGGTTTGGAGTTTTTTTGTCTTTTTATTTTGGTGATTCAGTGTAGGTTTGGCATGTGGCATCATTGATTGAGGAACGTGTTCTGTAGAGAAAAGCTCAGTTTTGGTTTCAAGATGAGTTCCATGTTTTTATTGCACAACTGAGTATGTCAGGGCATTCTTAATAATCATCTGGATTGCTTTGCTGTCTGGGGAAAAGCAGCTATTCCAAACATCGTGGTAGTTTTAACTATTTAAAAATTAGAATTGGCTTTGCAACTTTACGTTCTCAAACATTAAATACCCACGCAAACTAACTCAGACTCCTGCTTCCCTTTTGATGTGCATTATGATAAAGTCTTAAATTAAATGATCACATACTAGTTTTTTCCACAGGACCTCTCTTTCATTCAGTGCACAGGCTGGATGGTGCTCAATACCTGGGTTAGTCAATATTTCTTTTTTCCCTGCTTCAGTATGTGGCCCCATGTCTAACTTTCTGTATATGCCATCCAAACCCTGCTCTCAAAAACAGAATCACTAACTTTGTCATGAGCTTTCTTACTGTGTTTATCACCTCAAGCACTTTAATGTTCCATAAGTATTAGTTAATTAAAATGCCTTTTAAGTAAGCTGGCAGTATTTTCCCTATAATACAGATGGAACTCTGGAGTACAGAAAGATGAGGTAGGTCAAATATAAGCTTGTGTATGCCCAACTAGAGATCATTGGACTCGGCTTTTCAGCATGTTTTATGTTCTGTTTGTAGCACTTCAAAGCCTCTGTCCTTATTACCTTATGGTTGTATAAGATGCCTCTGAAGATTGGCTTCCAGTAGTCTCATTTTGGGCATGTAAAATCAGTAATTCTCTTTATGAAAAACTGCTCCCTCCAGACTCATCTAAGAATTGTATGTCACCTGTGTCTTACAATACTACAAAGTTCCATTTTGCATCACCATGAAATTCCGTTATCTTCCTGAAATCCTGTTTGGTTTCTTACACAAATCCGTGTAAATGGATTCTATTAACTGCACAGACTTCATTAATTCCCTGAGCACTGTCCATTCTGTGTGTTGAATCAGGAAGTGAATGGCATTACTGTAATCCTTGTGTGATGTACATATCCCTTTCTCCTCTGCCCTAAATTCCTCCTAAACTAAAGGTTATTTTCCAGAAAGAGTATGGACAATTTATTTTCCTTGAGGAAGAGACTTACTACTTTTGTTCCCAAAAGAGGAGCTGGAATGAAATGGAAGAAAGTTAGCCTAAGGCAGACAACCTTCACGAAAAATTTCCATAGACGGAGATGTTTAGCAAGATCGTATAAGTACAGGGGAAAGAGAAGCTTAAATCTTTATGTAGCATTTCTTTAAATGCTGAAGGGCTACTCTTACGGTGGAGAAAAGATAACGCAGCCACTCTTTCTCCCTTTTTTTGTTTTCACTTTTTAGAGAGGAAATGGGATCATAATGAAGATAATTTTTCTGTCTAATCTTAAATCAAGATTGTGTAAATATACATAGAAATATGTAAAATAAAGGCAAAAAAATCCGTGTCTACTCACTTGTCTCACCAAAATATTACTGGTTTTAGTGGATTTCCAGGAGAAGCTATACAACAGCCAGTATTTCCTCAGCTTCCAAATATGGATCCTTTTCAACAGCGGATGATGGGAATACAACAGGATCAAATGCGTCACCAGGTAACTTGTTCTGCTGTTGTGTTATGTTTTCTGTCTTTTGTTGTTTTCTTTGGTGCAGAGGTATGGAAATGGTGTTCGTGTTCGTGAATGTGGCTTACCCTCCAGCTTTCCCAGGAAACATAGTTTTGTTCTCTGTTCTAGTCAAGCTTTGAAGAACATGATTTTTATTTTATACATCTGAACGCTTGACCTACTTCGTCCTTCTCGGGCTTCTGGTCTTTTATTGTGACTTTGGAGCAGAGATAACAATTATTCTTTAGCAAACTGGGAAAGCTAATGTAGGGGTTTTTTCCTAGCTGGAAGTTTTCATGTTTTTTCTCCTTCAAAGGTTCCGCTTCCTCCTAATGGACAAATGCCAGGTTTTGGTCTCCTGCCTACTCCGCAGTTTCCACCTATAGCTCAGCCTGTGATTCCACCAACAGCACCTGTGCAGCAAACTTTTCAGTCTCCTTTTCCAGTACAGAGTGAATCACACATGCAAAAACCACATCAGCAGGTGAGGAATCCTTGCAGTAAATGAACTAACTTCAGTGCTCTGATACATGTCTTTCTCAAATGTGTATAGTTTGTTCAGGAGAGGAAGTTTCATGATAACCACGGACAGAGGTGGCTGTGAGGGTAGCTCATCTGAGAGAAAGTTGGATAGCTGCAGCGTTACATGACAAGTCTGGTGTTTCAGAAGTCTAGCAAAACCAGCATGTGTCTGCTTTATGCCTCGTTTTGTGAAAGACTTTGAATTGCATGTTGCCCTTCCACTTCTCACTTTCCCTCATCCTCCTGTTCCTGTCCCCATTGTGCTTCAGGAATATTTTGTTCCGTGCAATTCTAACAATGCAATCTCTGGAGAGAAACTATCTGGAAAAGTTATTTTTTAAAGGCCTGGTAAATCACTAATAAAGTGGAAAGGGACTCAGAAGTCTGTAAAGGTTTTTAAAAAAATCCAAGTGCGTGTAAACACCTCTGTCTTGTTCCTGAGGTTTTGGAGGGTATTTTTGGTTTGGTAACTGGCTGCTGTTAAGAAGAAATCAAAGAACAGGTGTACTTATGAGCCTGTATTTAAAAAAAAAAAAATAAATTAATATATTTGATTCTTTTGTTCCAAGAAAAGGAAATCCTAAAATGAGAAATAGAGATGATACCAAGCTGTCTTTATGTGGTGACCTGCGATGTCACAGATTCTAGAAATAAGTTCCTGCTTTCCACTTGGACTAAAGGGACAATTCTGAAGAGTGTCTTTGTAATTAGCTTTTTAGTCTTGAATTCTATTGAATCGGTACATTATGAGAAGATTGCTTGTTTGGCTATTCCCTGCCAGGGTCGCATCATGATGACTAATTAAAGTTTAGGCAGGACACAGTATGTTCTGGCGTGGGAAGCTGTAGAGAATTCGCGGTAGGAAGGAAGAGCTATGTTGAACCTAATGGTTTTTTTTTTTTTTTGAGCAGGTTCTTGCATTTTATGTATTGTTTTGATGACTTACTGCTTTGTTCTTCAGATTTACTGTACTGTAATTTGCTTATATATATGGCTTAAAGTAGTTCCCTATAACATCTTGGAGAAAAGTTTTCTGGTAGACAGTCCTTTGCCTGTAATTTGTTGACAGAGCAAGATCCACTGACTGGACTTTAAGGAATATAATCATATTCTGTGTAGATACATCTGGTGCTGAAATTAACTAAAATGGGAAAAACAATAACTTGCAAATCAAAAATGAGAATTTTGTGTAAATTATTTTTGTTATGTTTTTGCGGTAGTTGTATTAAGTTAATTTAATGCTGGACTTCTCCCTATTAGTGACTACAAAGTAGTGGTGAAGCTTCTGAGAAGAGTTGCATTACATTTTAATTTCACATGTGTGAATATTCAGTATAATTCTAGTGCTGCTAAGTAATTTAGTCTAGGCATAAAATGAAAGAAAATGCTTGCGCTACTCACCAGCCAACTTAATATTTTAGGATATGGAAGTGGAACAGCCACCTATTCAAGAGGGAAAACGGCATGTTTCTGACAACAGAAAGTCAAGATCTAGATCTGCGTCAAGGTAAATCAGTGAAAGTTCTTTCAGTGAGGGTATATAGTATATGAAGCATTGGATTGTAACATGGGGAACTTAAGTGTGTCATGTCCGAAGACTTGAAAATGTTTTACTAATTGTGTCCGAGTACTGAGGGGAGTTATGCTGATTATCTGGAGCTCGGAGAGCCTGGCGCTGTGCTGCCAGATCTGCCGTGGGGGTGGTAACTTCCGAGATGACAATACATAGCTGAGAGGTGAGCTAACTCCTTGAATGATTGATGAAGTTCATTTTCAATGCCTTAGGACATGGGCCTGTTACCTGTATTTCGAGTTGGCTTCTTGGGTCTCCCTCTCAGCTTCCTTTGAGGTCATTTCTTGTAAGTGCCCAGTTGTGCTGTACAAGTTGGATTCTATGACTAGATGCCAAAAGAGACATTTAGCAAAAGAGTCCATTTCAGTATAATCTAAGGATTAAATACAAGAATTTACTGTCTGTTCGTTATTCTCTGTATGGACAACACTAGTGAAATTTCTTGGTCAAGTCAAAACTGTTGAGGGCTTTATATCAATTCCCTTTCTCGAGGAGATTAAAAAAGAGACCCTTTCAATCTCTTAACTCTGAGGGGAGCTGTGTATAAATGCAGCTAAATGTTGTGTGTACTTCAGTGCAGTGGTAATGAGAAACAGATCAGTGAGTCTTAAGACTTGTGAACCTGTGAAAGTCATCTACCTTGTAAGGAGAATTTGGTATCTATGCAGTTCTCTTTTACTGGTAGAGAGGAACTTCCATGCCTGTCAATATTGAGTAAATTTTAGGGAAGCAGAATATGACAGTTTAATTTTGTCTGTGCTCTAGAGATGCTTTTCTTGTGAAAAAACCTGCGGTCCAGTGTGCTGTGGGACTTGGCCAGTCACAGAGGGAGTATTTCACGTGTCTCAGCTGACCTAACAAATCTGGCTCCAGGATTAAAGAAAAGCTCTCTACTTAGTTATGAGTCTTCTCCTTTGCCAAGTTTTATAGGACTTCTTTGAAGGTTTACTCTGTCTTCCAGACCTTGGGTGGTTTAGAACTTGAACATGATATAAAATACCATTATACTGGCAGAATTTATTTTTAATCTCTTTTTTTAGTCCTCCTTCTGTAAAAGGAATAAGCATTTTCCTCATGTAAGCAGTTGCAATTTTTTTCTATGTTAACGTGGACATAGTTTTGATAGTCAACTTCAATACAAAATTAATAGAAGGTAAGAAATTGAAAAATAATAAACTGTTCAGCTGGAGTGCATTGATAAGCCACTGTAATAATTTATTCTAGTTCTAAATGCATGTGAATGAACTTGGATTTATTTATTTTTTTGTTGACTGAACGCTTGCCTGGTGATTTAAATAGATACCTGAAGGAAGTAGTTATCTGTCTGTCAGTGTCTGGGTCAGAAAGGTTGAACATGAATGGTTGTTGGTTTAAACTAGGTCACCTAAAAGGAGACGTTCAAGATCTGGCTCTCGATCTCGAAGGTCACGTCATCGTCGATCTCGATCTCGGTCCAGGGATAGACGCCGACACTCTCCTAAGTCTCGGTCACAAGAAAGACGTGAACGTGAGAGGGAGAGAGAACGCAGGTCAAAAGGTCTTCCTCAGATCAAGTCAGAAACTGTTAGTGGTACGTTTATTCTTTCTCTCTGATGTAACTCTGCAGATTCTTGTAATACCATTTTTCGGATGCTGAACATCTTCCTGGTTTGTGTATGGAACTTTTTTGTCTGTGCCCAGTATTTTCTTTAATGAGTTTCAGAGTTCTGTGAAGTTGAAGGTATTACAGTAGCTACTACACCAATGTAAAATGGAATACTAAGATGACAAACAGGTATTTTAGAAAAACTGTAAATGTTAAAAAAATACACTTCTTGTATCTATTGGACTTTTTAAAAAAAATTAATGTTGACAAGTCCACTCACCTTCATTATATGATACTTGCTTAGAGAATCCCAGAAGACAAATCTTAATCTGATGTGTGTTATTTTTAAAATTGTTTTGTTCCTTTTTCTTGAGTTGAATGCTTTTTGGTGTGGGTTCCAAGACTCATCCAAACAGAATAAAAGTAAACTGTACTGTGTTTTGTTTTCTGAACTGTTGTAAAGCTGGTAAGAATTAAATTCACCACACGTCTCTGTACTTCCTTTGCTCATAGCAGACAATTTGGCATTTTTGGAATATCTCCAAGTCGGAAATAATTTGCCTGTAAAATGAGGAAAGAAAAAGCTGAAACACCATGTTTTTCTTTTCCTTCCTTCAAGACATATAAAGTAAGGCAGGTTGAGCAACAAGAAGTTGAGCACATTATGATGATTTTTCTAGTGATTCGATGTTGTGTGTGTCTCAAACCTGGAGGGGAGCTTTGACCTGGAAAGCACACAGGCTAATGTTTGGATTTCTGAAATAATCCTGGCTTTGTCTGTGCTTGTAGACAAAATGTAGTAGTTGTCTTCTGAATATTCCTGAGGAGTGTGGACTCTTCTCTGGAGTCATCAAGTAAAATGAGAGCATTTGTTTTTATGTAAGAGGGACAAAACCTAAAGTTTTAATTGGCCAACACCTTGAGAATGACAATACCGTTAGATTAAAAGGACTGCAAAGACTTACTTAGCGGTTCATTAAAAAACTCACTGGCAGTGGTGCAGGATACCCTTTTGCCAACATCACTCCCAGATGATGCTTTTTGGGTTTACAGTTTTATATGACTTAGTGGTGAAAACGTAGATGAGTATGAAATGTTGCTCTAGTAGTCTTCAGCTCATCTGCTGTTTTATTACCTTCAAGCATGAAGTGAGATAAACACGTTGCTTACTCTTTCCTGAAAGAAAAAGCTTGTGTCAATAATTTTTCACTTAACCGTAGAAAGAAATGGCACTGAGTAGGCCACTAAAGAGGTTAAAAGTTTGGTTGCTCGTTGTAGTTGAATTGTCACCGCATTCTGGAGAAACATCTTCCTAGTAGTGGGTTTGTCGCCATAAACAATCTAATTATCTTGCCAGTGAGTACCATCCATAAATTGCAATAGTGGCCTGTAGCTTGGATTTCATACTGAGCAGAGTGAGTTACCTTGTAGTGAAATATCCACTGTATGCGTTGGGTACTTCATGGAGCGTTGTTAGCAGCAAAGCATATTTTTCCTCTTTATGATGATTTGCAGAGCTCATGATCATCAGAACTTGCAGGTCACTTCAGTAGTAGTTGACTAGAGCGCTTCTTAGTGATTGCATTCTGACAGTGATTATGATGTAGTTGTGGCAGTTAACACTGCTCCAGGCAGGCAAGAAAAAGAGGTTTCTGTCAAACACTCCTAAAGATTAAAATATATATTTTAATATTAGGTGTTTTTTTTTTTCATTTGAATAACTGACTTTTAAAATTACTATATTGACATTTTGGCTTGTGAAATGTGTATTTCCAAGTGCTCTTACAATCTGTGTTAACTCTTTGATTGTAGTTTGTAGTACTACACTCTGGGTAGGACAACTTGACAAAAGGACAACTCAACAAGATGTTGGAAGTCTTTTGGAGGAGTTTGGCCCAATTGAATCAATAAATGTAAGTATAAATGGTGCAGTGTAAGCTACTTCAATATGCTTTGGTTACAAAAAGTCTTTTCAGACTGTTTTAAGACAGCTTTAGTAAAGTCAAGGGCTCTCATTTCCTATATGGTTTTGTTTTCTAACATGTAAACTCAATTCATTTGGCTGCTTTGTAGAAAAACAGGAAGGCAGTTGCATTGGTTTCTTGCAATTTAAAAATGCTCTTGGGGATAATACAGAGGATTATCCCGTTTTCATAAAAAGTCAGGCTTTCTCTGGAGAGAACTGAATAAGAAAGGGCTATTGAGGAGATGGGTACAGAATTAACGTACTGTACTACAGAGTTCCTTGTCTGCTCTGGGTTTTTTTGATTATAGAAATGTGGACTACGAGTGGGTGTTCCTGTTTCTTTTGCTTGTTTCTCTTCTGTTATTTTAGTCATAAACATGGAGAACTATTGTTATGCTTTGCTGTATTTAAGGATATTTTTATATATAAATGATAGCTGTTCCAGTAGCTATAAAATTTCATTTAAACAAACAAGCAAAAAGAAGTGACTGTAATGTTCTTCCTATTCCCAATTTTTGTAAAACAACATAGGAGTTTTTTCTCAAATGCATTACAAATAATAAAAATTATTACAAAACTGCAGATAAAACTGACTGTGGAGGTACAGCTAGCAACTTGTGGTATATGGAATGAAGTGGGGTATTAGCGTGATTGTTTCTTCCAACAAAGTAGCTAATTGCCGAACCACCGCGTTTACATGAAGACTACCGTTGAACAGTTTTGAAGGATTAAATATACGAGAGTCATCCGTATTCTCACACAGAATAGAGTTTCAAAGTTTCCATATAAGAAGTTGTTTTTAATTTACTAGGAATTTGTACTTCCAGAAGATACTGGCTATCTTAGCCTCTTAAACTAACATCCTCTTTTGTACTACTGTAGTCCTTTCTGAAACTCTTGCCGATGTTCCAGCTTACTGTAATTGAACACTTGTATGTTGTTCATTACTTTGTTAATGTAGTAGCAAAATTATTTTTTTTCCCTTAAAATACCAACAGATGATACCGCCTCGAGGATGTGCCTATATTGTAATGGTTCACAGACAAGATGCATACCGTGCCCTACAAAAACTGAGCCGAGGAAACTTCAAAGTCAATCAGAAATCTATAAAGGTACTTCTTGGAAAATGTCAAGCTGTTCTAAAGTTACTGTAATTACCATGATCCTTCTTCATCTGTTCTAGACTTTTGGGTATTTTAAACTGTTAGGTATTCTGGATATGGTATTCTGTAAATTTATGTGAATGGACTGCTTTTTTTTTTTCCTGGTAAGTATTCTTCCTGTTCTGTGATGTGGCTAGGGGAACTTGTGTCAGTTTCCTGGAAAGATTGCCAATAATTGCCTATTCAACCAACAGAAGTGGTGTACTTTTAGTCATAAACTGTAACTATGTTTTTCTTGTGGCTGGTTATTTATATTAGAACCGAGTTTAATTATGTAAATCGTACAAAGACTACTAATAAATAAGGAAGAATGCATTCAGTAATGAAGATCTTCCTTTTGTAGAACATCATATTAGAGTGCGACACTGTCCTCTGAAGCAAAATAGAATTATTGTTAGTGACTGGGGAACGTTTGAAGAAACTGCCTTTATGCATTTTTACAAATTGTGTGCAAGAGTCAAGCCAAGAAATAAGAACTAAATCTGCTTTTAAAAAACCTCCTATTTCAGAGTTTTGTAACTAACCTATTTTTCCTGCTGTTCCAGAGTATTCTTTTTGCTTTTTAGCCTCAAATGGTTATGCTGTTTTGTAAGAACTAAATATTAAATCCATTAAAGTGGAAACATTTTGCTGAGTACATGTTATTTTTTTTTTTCCCCCCCAAGATTGCATGGGCTTTGAATAAAGGAATAAAGCCAGATTACAAGCAGTATTGGGATGTAGAATTAGGTGTTACTTACATACCATGGGACAAAGTGAAACCTGAAGACCTTGAAAGTTTCTGTGAAGGAGGAATGTTGGACAATGAAACTCTTAGTCCAGGTAAAGTATTGCTACATCTTTAAACGCTTTTAAAAAATTGTCCTTTGTGCTGGTGTCCTGAAGTTGATGTGGCTGATTAATGACTGTGAGGTGCATATAAAATCTGTGAAATGGCTGAAAAGTGCAGCACGTGTAACCCATAGACTGGAGAGAGTTTGTAAGCAGTTAAAGACAGTCCCTTATCAGGAGTTGTGCAGTTGTGTTAGGAGAGGCTGAACTAAAAGTGCAGGTGGCTACCAGCTGATCTGTCAGCTGCACTGGTGTTTGCCCTTGGTGGTCATGCACGATGCAAATGTGTTGTACTCATTAGTCCCAGAGCCAGCTTGCTGTGTCCCCCCTCCCTGGTTTGTGCGAGGCACCCCTACCGAAGGAGCCTGCCTTTGGAGTGCTTGTGTCGCAACTGAGCTGACGGCAACTTTAGAATTTCTAAAACAGGTTCCTATCGTTTTCACACTTAGGACATTTTCAGTTCCTTTAGCAAGTCTTGTATTTATAGGGAGCTGATAGAATTCTTACTATTTTGCGTGTAAGCAGTGAAAATATCAGACTTCTATGGTTGTATTAAGAAAATGTCACCTGATATAATCGGCAGCTTCAAATCAATTACAGGCTTCAAATCGGTATAGAGTTGATAGTGTGCTGGCTGTTGTGATTTTAAAACTAATATTAAATGAATGCAGTACTTAAAAGTTGAAATTGCCTTACGTTCTTTGAATTGGTACTTTTTTAGCCGTTGTGTGGTGTGCTGTCTAGTTATTGAAACATTATTTCAGGGTTTTGTCCAATTTGCCCTAATTAGGTGGTGGTTATTCTAAATAGTAGCATCTCTTAGTGGTAAATACACAAAAATAAGTTAAGGATGTGTTTTAAATGAAACTCTAACGAATAATAAACATAACCTCAATGTGTTCCAGACTTCTCAGTGCTTTTCTCTTTCCCATAATGCTTCTTCACTGATCACTTTTTTCTGCTTAGCTGTCTTTTCCCAGGAAGTTCTCGCAACTAATAGGAGCATATTTCTTCTGTAAAATGAGTTTAAAGCTATATTTAATGTTTCTCTTATTTTGTTGTGATTCTGTATTGTTGTATTCATCTTTTCCTTGTTCAAGACTTGAAAATGTTTTTTTCAGAAATTACTTCTCGAATTAGTGAGAAAGCTGCTGCCTTCCTGCTCGAGAGCAATGGAATGAATCTGTTGAAAGCTTGTCCCAAAACAGCCTTACAGTTTTTGTTACAGACAATGTGTTTCAGAGTCCTAGACATGTATAAATGCTGTCAGTGCAAAGAATTGTTAAATGACTAATGAAGGCGGGAAATTTACTTGCTATGTTTCAGTGATTTGCTGTAATGGGTTTAATTTGGAATTTTCATTGTCAGAAATATGTTTAAATGCTTCTTGGCTCTGTGCTTCTCCTTATCTGAATATTTTCAGTTATGTCATTTTGGTCAACATCACAAAGTGTAGTAGTTTTACATGGCAGTACGTGACTGCTTGTCTGCTTCTACTGAGCTGATATGTGTGTGGGGTGTTTTTTTGTATAGAGTGGAAGGGGATTCCCAAGAAGTCTGAAAATGAAGTAGCTCAAAATGGAGGTGCAGAAGCTACACATAATGAACCAGTGTCGCCTATACCTAAAGCTTTACCTGTTCCAATTCCCGTTCCCATGCCTGCGCCAATAACAGTACCTCCTCCCCAGGTGAGAGTCGCTTCTCATTTGCTATGGATATCTAAACAAAAACTTGCTTTAAATAATAGTTCAGTATGGCAAAACGTAAGTTAGAGAGAAGAAGGGAATACGATGAATGGTGACTAGGTGATTTTGTGTGTGTGTGTTTGTCATGTTGTTGTCCCTGGTTAAAACCACTTTCGTTAGCAGACTGGCTATGCTGTCAATTTAGGAAGATAACTTTTCTGTGTCGTAAACTGAGTATGCACTTGGAATCCATTATTTGAGCTTCTTCATGTGGAAGGGCAGTCTCGTAGAAGAACATTCATTTTCTGCAAAGTCATAGTGGCCATGGAAGACTTGGAAAAAACCCAAACCCGTTAGGGTTTGGAGCATGTTTTGTGCCCAGCAGGAGCAGAGCATCTGGTTTGATTTCCCTGAAAAGGGATGTAGTTTGCATGTGCCAGAACTGCCCTGGGAACTGAGTCAGCACGGGGTTAGTGGGAATGGTGGAGGATTTGCTCCAAAACGTCAGTGCTGCCCTAATGCAGATGTAGACAGAGTGTGTGTGTGTGTGTGTGTGTCTGCCAGATCTTTACTTGACGTATTGTAGGACTGTGCTTCTAATATCCATTCTTTCAGTCATGGATAAATTATTGCAGTAGATTCTTTCTAAAAATGGGCTGAATTGCACCCTCTTGGTTTTATGATTTCATTATTTTTCTGTTTTCTAACTGATTTTTCTCACTGTTGGCTTAAATAAGCTTATAGACATTCTAAAATGTGCACGCTGCTTTCATGTTTGTTCATATTGTGTATACTCTCTTTGAACAGCCTTTGGGAATTTAATATAAAAATTTCCCTAGTCTTCCTTTGTTGTTATAATGGTTCTTCAGTCACAGCTGATGTTGTATGTTCATTCGCTAAAAGCACACTCTGAAATTTTACCATTAGTTTAAGTAGTGTGTAATAACAACTCCCTCCAGTGTTTTACAATCTGTATTTCTTTTAGCTTGACTTATTGACAGATGCGTTACTACTTTTGTAGTAATAGTTTCTTTTTTGTCACTGTTAATATAGTAGTATACCTTTTCCCAAATGGAAGGAGGGGTGAATTAACGCTATTTTACATCTTGAGAAAATGTGATTTATCAACATATGCGAGACACTCAGAAGAGATCAAGAGCTCAAATTATTTGAAGACACATATAATTTAGCCAATTATGTGATTTGAGGACATAGTATGTTGAATTTTGTGGTGTTTTGACATGGAATTCCTGAAATGCTATAAGATATTATTAGTAAATGAACATGTAAGTGAAATTTCTAATGTCAGAGAGTTTTAATAGCCGTTAACTGTATTAAATAGTAGTTATTTTGTTTTTTTTTCCCTTGAATCCATGCTGAAAGACAGTGTAAAGAAAAAAACAACTGGTTTCAGAATACATTGAATGTGCTGATTGCTTGTCTTAGCCTCATCAGCTTAAGTTTTTTACTATGGCAAAGAAGATTGTGTCTTCGCAAATTCAGGCCAGGATCAGAGAACTGTATTGAGTCTTCATCTTTGATTTCACCATTAACTTTCTTACGCTGTCTTATACTTGACCAATTCAGCTGTCTTCTCTGGCCATAACATTACAATAGCTTAGTAATTTGTAAATAGTTCTTAAGACTTAGAAATTAAGTTCAGCTGTGATGATGTTAGTGGTGTTAGTAGTAAAAGTAACATGCAAGTGTGACCTAGAGGAAAAAGCTCTTTATATTCCACTTCTTTTGTTTAAATAACTGTATAGAATAGTACCATTGCATTTTAAATAGCTGATGTATTTTGGTCGTCTGATACGAGTGGAACTGCTTTCACTTGCGTTTGGCTTCAGTGTTTGGGACTGTAAGAGGTGGGGAGGTTGTTACGAGTGCTGGGTAGCTGCTGGTGCTGTCCAGCCTGGAATGGGCAGCAGTACGGTGACGCCAGGTTGCTCGATCCATCCGTCTGGCTGGCTCCCCTGTTAGCCATGGAAAGCGCCCCGCCCACCCTGGTCCCTCTGACTGGAGAAGCAGGTTTGGTGCGTGTGTTGTGTCAGAACAGGCTTTGTGCATTGTCCTGGTGCAGGCTGCAGTGATCAAGGATAGGGCTGCCTGACAGATAACCCCGAACAGTTTTGACTGCATGATTCCCATAACTTAATCTCTCTTTTCTTGCTTCTTGACCTTCCTTTTTGTTGTGCTTTCTCCTCCCTTTCTCCACTCCAGTCTCCTCCCAAGTAAACAACTCTCTCTGAATTATTTTTTCCGTTGGTCCCTATTTTGCTGTATCCCTACCCAGATTTGCTATTTATGATGCTGTTACCTAAGTAATAATTGTCCTTATGTGGTGTTCTTGGATGTGGTTACTTATGCGCTGTTGGCCTCACAGGGAAGGTCCTTTTCCCCTTAAGATCATAAGTGCTCCTTTCTGGTTGTCTGTGAAGTTTGGCTGTTCACGTTAACCACCCCTCAACCACCTGCAGAATGCAGCCATCCCTCGTGGTGCTGTCTGTAAATTCTGTCAGCGTCTCAACGTTGTTTTCTGTCATGTCTGGCAATTTCTCCTGCTACATCCAGTAGTTCCTCACATCCTACTCAGTTACCTTAACTTCAGATCAGGGCCTAATCAGCAGGTTATTATAAACCAATAAATAACCAATTTAAACATAAAAAATAAAAACAGGTGGTCTACACTAAAGCCTATTGTAGTTAATTGATTTCAAAATTCCAATAGTACAAGTTTTAATGTGCCTCAGCTCACTAACCTAGCCATTGGTAAAGACCTTGGAACAGAAGTTTGAAGTGGTATCAGGTGCTTGGTGGCTTTAGCATCTTCTCCAGGTTTAAGAATAATATTTTGCTTACTTCGGTCTAATGCCACTTCTTTCAGTTCCAAGAATAAAACAGTAAAGGCTTTTCCTTCTTTACTCTAGAAATATAAAATGAGTTTTGAAGGATCTTGGTGTAGTAGTTCTGAAATTTTGAGGTGAGTCAGTTATGATACTTGAGTATGCAGCTCTCCTTTGCTTTAATAAATCAATTTTAAACACAGAGCATATTTTGATTCCCACACATTTAATGTAGCCTTTAGAGTAAACTTATAAATATGAGTCTAAGGACTAAACTTAATTTAAATCAGTTTTCATTCAGAGCTTGATATAAATCAGAATTAAAAAAATAAATTAATAAGGAAACAATAGTCACTCTAATGTAATACACAAACTCAGGTAGCGAAAAAGGAAAAAGAAAATGTTTTTATTGCTTCAAAGTCGTGTGCATTATAGCGTGTCATGCTGGATGGTAAAATTAATTCCAGCTACTGTGTAAAGGGTGTATTTAAATGAGTTACCAGCATGCCCTAATATCAGTTTACCACAGAGAAGAATTTTTTTCTGTTCAAGAACAAAGGCAAATAAGATCAATGTTGATATTTTAAGTTGCAGGAGTTCTTTGACTGCTAGTTAGGTCAGTTATCTAAGTCACCTTGTTGCAGAGTAATTTAAGGTAGCTTAAATTTTCTTGTTGTGACGGCTAAAGCACAGAAGGCAGCGGTCCACAGCTGAACAACAAATAATCCGTTCAGTCTTGAGGTAACATGTTTTTCCCCTTCCTTTTTCTTAGGTTCCACCGCATCCATCAGGTCCTCCGGTGGTTGGTGCACTCCAACCACCAGCTTTCACGGCACCTTTAGGAATCCCACCTCCTGGATTTGCTCCTGGAGTGCCACCACCGCCGCCGCCTCCATTTTTACGACCTGGGTTCAACCCAATGCATTTACCCCCAGGTATATTCATATATTTTTAGGAATATTAAGTCCTTTTTTTAACCATATAGCAAATAAAAGCAGCTGCCATATAAACTGCACAAGTATGTTTCGGTAAAGTGATGATACTCACTGTTAATATATACTTTTTCGTAGGCTTTCTTCCTCCTGGACCACCACCACCTATAACTCCTCCAGTATCTGTTCCTCACACTCCGGCAGTAAACATCCCAAATTGTAAGTGTTTGAGTCTTGGGCAAGCAGCAGGAGAAGGAAGGTACCGTGTGAGCAGGAAAAAAACCCCTTTTTTGTAATATGTCAATGCATTGTTTCTTAGCTACAGCAACTGGTGTGAATGAAGACACTACGAAAGATTCGTCTGTAGGAAATCCCATCCCAACAGTGGTTTCTGGATCCAGAGGGAATGCTGAAACTACTGATAGTTCCAAAATATATGGGACTGTTCCACCTCCTGTAGCACCTACTAATGTTCCTGCTCCTGTCACCCAAGCTATTCCACTTCTTGGTAAGTTCAGTTTTGTATATATTCTTCAGTTTATTGTTCCATGAATTTAAAATACGATTTTGGTTTTGCTACTGACTTAAAGTTCGTGGGAAAACAAAGCAGGTTTTTTCTAAACTTGTTGAAAATTCTGCCCTTCTGTTGCCTTTTAAACAATTTTTGGAGTCTTGATGTTGCACAGAAGGAGCAGTAAATTATTTTTGTTATTGAAGATCTAGTTTCTGAAGGGACAAAAAAGCCTTAACGTTTAAGTTACAAATTCAGGACAGAAAAAAATTCAATACTTTTAACAAGTTGAGGTTTATACCATATAGAAAATTAACTTACAATGAAATATCTGTATGACAAATGAACTACGTTTTAGACTCATCTGTTACATGTATAAAATTAACTTACAGAGAAACAGTGGTTTTTTTAAGTGCATTTTTCTAATCTGTGAAAACATGGTATACTTTTTATGTATGGAATAAATTATTTTAATAAAATTAAACCCCAAAAGGTTTTATTCAGCAATATTATAGGTTTTGAAACTTTTTAAACAATGTATTACCTTCTTTAAACATTACAAAATGGTATTTTGACTAGCAAAACGAAGCTAACTTTGGATATCTTACATAAATTACTTTTTATGATATGATACTAACTTGGTCAGACTTTTAAAGAGAGTGTGTACTGCTTGATGTTCCAGAGGTCTGCTAAATATTTATTTTAGGATGGCCTTGTATGGGTCAGTATCAAGAACATACCCAAGAGACAAATTTTAGTAGGATTATTACATTTATGGGATGTCAGACCTTTAAATCTAACTGTTTAACAGTTGGACTGAATGATCTTAAAGGTCTTTTCTAACCTAAACAATTCTATGATAAATGAGAGCCTAACAAGTGAATGAAAAAGATAATTTTATTCTAGTGTCTGTGTGCCCAGAACTTAACAGTGTGCACTGAAAAACCCCCTGATTGCTTACTGCTCTGTCGGATTTGACGGGTAAATTTTCCAGCCGTGACTGGTGATTTTTGGATCCTTTATGTTGGAAACTCGAAATAAGACCCTTTTCAAAGGCTTTTTTCAAGAAGTGAAGAGCTGCTTCTCTCTAAAAATCAGTCTGCTTTTTAAGATCTGTCAAAGCAGATATGCAAAACCAGCAGGTAATTGTTTTACAGTGTCTTGGACGCTTGGCAAACAGAGAAAAGCTTAAAAGAAATCCTGTGGTGACACCATGGATTGAGAGAATTTAGTAGTGATAGGGATTATCCAACTATAAGTTTAAGACATTCACATCTTCATGATGAAGTGACACTTCTTGTAATTGTAATACAGTTTTACCAGGTTTTTAAAGTTTTGTGGTACTGTCTTGTACAGCGTAACTTGAACTTTTCATTCCAAGCCTTTGGAGTGTATTAAGTTACTCTGCAGTTTGCTGTATCGCTATGCAGATAAGAAAGAGGTTTTACAAAATTAAGATCAGACCCTGTATACCCACGTTAGTTACTTGGACGGTAGGGTTTTTTATTCTTACGAATTCGAGGAAGCTGAATTGGAGAAATCTGAAGATCAAGAACTTGTCTTTTTTTTTTTTTTAATTAACTGATTTACTGAATAGTTGAGGCAGATAAAGTTGTCCATGTGGTCAGAGTGACTTCTCTCATCGTTCAGTCTCATCAACAAAGGGATAGGAGAGGTTTTTTCTTTTTGTAAGATTGCATGTATAAGCTTACAGAGTCGTCCTGAAGTAATAGCTCAGAGATCTGCGTGTTTACTTAAGTAATAACATTTTTATGTGGATGAGAGTCTTATTTGAAGAAGTTATTTATAATCAAGGAGCTATGTAAAACCCTTCCATTCTGACATTTCGGAGTTAAGGGGGACTGTTCACAATCTGATTAAAGATCCAAGAAAACTAGAAGAAATAAATTATAATATTTTACATGATTAAAGATAAAAGATTACTGTCAGTTGTCTTGCTTTTAAAACTTTTCAGTAAGTGAACACAAATTAAATGTTCTTCTTAAAAGCAGTTTGACTGACTTACCAATTGAGCTTAGCTCTGCGTGTGAGAGTCCAGGTCTGGTCTCTCCGTAGGCTGGAAGAAAAACATGAACGAGGTGATGTTTTGCACCACTCACGCTGATCTAGGTAGCAAAGAAGTGTCCCTTGAAGTCTTGCCCTTCTCATCCTCTGAGTTCGAGAGCTGGCCAGGCTGCATCGTCACTCCTTCCTTTTCATTCTGTGTGTCAGGTTTCTCTCCTAGGGAAACCAAAGCATGGGAAACGGAGGTGCGAGCTACGTATGCATCCCGGTCGCGGAGCCCAGAAGTACTTGCAGGCTTGAGAGTTTAAGTGTAGCCTTAGTGTCTGACCTGCAGTCTTGTACGGGTCAGAGGCAGATGACCTGGACAAAGGAAATGAGTAGGTACAGGGTCACCCTCCGTTAGCCCTGGGAAAGGGCAGACGAGGGAAGTCAAATGCTTCAGACCCAAGGGCCTCACGTTCACAAGTAGCAGTTTGAATAGATGACTGTGATCATGTGACCGGTTTCTGACAAAGTCCTCAAACTGGACTGGTTTGCCATTCCCATGATGTGGCTCTCCAAGCTGAGATAAGAAGGTGGAAGAAAGATTTGTTTGACAGCGTCATCAAGTATGTCATGAGGACTCTGCTTGGGGAAATAGGGCTGAAGGGGCTTCGGTAGTGTAACATGAAGACTGAAGACATGTTCTTCGGATATTTGGGCAGGATAGAAGAACTTAACTTCAGCAGGCTGAAGTCAAGCAAAGAAGATTGCTCTGAAGAGACTGTCATAGAAATCTAAACTTAACCTCGCTTGAGAGCACCTTATGTAGTCTGCACCAACGCAGGAGCTCTCTTCTGGTTTTTGTAACTTCAGAATGAAGTTTATCTATCTGTTCTGGTTTTATATGGAAGAAATGTTACAAAGTTAATTCTAAATTGATTATTGTAAGATTTCATATGCTTTCTTAGTAATGTAAGTTACGTTCTGTTTCATCTCCACTAATTTCATTCGTTCCTCCAATGTAATTCTTTCATGACTTCCAACAAAGACATGTTTGTGCTCCAGAGGACTGATCCTCGTGGACGTTGTGTCTGAATTTTTTTTTTGTGCTTATTTCTAAAAACCACACTCAGGTTGTTTTGATCTAGTTGTATCCTTGATCATATTTGCTGCTGTTACAACTTCTTGTTCTTAATTTGAACAAGATTATCCAGACTGTAACTGGTTTTGTGAGTGTGTGCTCATAAGCCATTTTTTAAATGATCTGCAAAGCAGATATTTTTAGAGTCCTTTTACGTGTGCATGTTGCAGAAAGTGACAGGCTTTTAGATAATTTTTGATTTGCCAACTTGTTCTTAATGTTGAGCAAATGCTGTAATTTGGGCCAGTAATAAACTGCTGTTGCAGATGCTGTGTTTCGAATACCCAGATTCTGTGATCTATTACCTTGATTAAATACACCATATTGCAGTTCGTGGGTTCTGGTCCAGTGCTCTTTTTACCAAAATGCCCACAATGATAATTACGTATTCTCAAAGATAATTATAATGTAGTTCTCATCGAACTTGGTATTCATTTCCTGTTCATGCATGCTGAATTCTTACTCTTTTCTCTCTTGCTGGTTTGTTCTTAAACAACTATGTGGTCTTTTTGTAATCTGCATTAAATTATAAAAGACAGACTGTGATACTCTGTGAGCTCATCAGAGTATTGCTCTATTATAAAGTGGACACTTCCTTCACGGGAAGGGCGAGCTCTTTGCCAGTACAGGATACGAACAGTGATAAACCTAATACATGGCCAGATTTCTTGTGCTAGCCCTTTTAACAAGCATAACAAACACTGCATGTTTGCTGATTGTATTTATGACTCTCGCTTTCATAATGCCACTGAATGAGAACTCGGAGGTAAGGGAACAGGAACTCTCAAGCACCATTCATGTTTTTGACATGACACACAGGAATTCAGTTTTGCCTTGATGATTCCTTTGACCTGGATCAGTTTAGTGTTTCTGTTCTGTATTGGTAGAAGTCTTAATACCAGTAAGCAACACTGTACACAACAACGAAGTTCGACTCTTAATGCTTGTTTAAGCATCTTACACGAATAGGAGCAAGCTCCTGCTGGCTTCAGGGACGAACACTGACTAACCTGAAAAATGTTGGTATTTGTAGCACTTTGTTTTTAAGCTGTGAATCAGTGTTTAGGCTCTGAGTCTTGGCCTGGTCTAAAGGATTCTGTATCAAACTGCAGAAAAATCCAGAAGACTTAGAACATTTTCCCTCTTTCGAGAATTTCCCGGTAGTATTTAATGCTCTGCTTTTAAGATGCAACATTCCCCACTGGAGAACGATAGAATTAACGTGACATGCTAAATGTTGCAGAACATCAGCATCAAACTCAGAGTGTCAACCCTTAGCCCGTTCTGCTGGAATCTTAAACTTTGACTTCTTGTTCTCATGTGTATTTCCATCAGATGTGCAAAAGAGGTGTGTTTGAAGCTGTGTCAGATATAGCAAACACCTCTCCTCCACTTGCTTTCTTGTACCAGCACAGCTGAGGAGTAATTTAATGGATTATAACAGACACTGTAATCACTTACTGATCAGAGTTCAGTTAAAAGAGAAGATCAGATGCCACGCTTCTCGGTTATGTTAGCGTTTGTAATGCTGATGATTATCACAAGGGAACATGGGGGTTGTCCGGCCAGAGGAGAAGATGATCAGAAATAGAATTACAGTGGCACAGAAATCTGGCTTTTTACCTAATTTATCAAAGCAGTAAGGATGCCTCCTGTGACCTCTCTGGATAGAAGATGCTTCTGCAGGACAGCTATAGCGTTTTGGGCTGTGTCTTACAAGTAAAGTGAAATTGTGAAACTTTTGGCACTGTGTGATTGTTCTTGCACCTCTGAAGCACCACCCGTGGTTGGCAATGGGCTTTCCCAGTATGCTGGCCTCTGCGTTCTTCATCGTAAACGCTCTTCGCAAGTTCTGAGGCCCTGTCGCTGTGCGTCACTGGTGAAAGTTACAAATAAAAATAAGATGTGAAAGCAATCTATGTTTTTACACGTTGGACCAGAGCAACATACTAGGTGTGAGGTCTGAGGATTCGATGTCCAGAATTAAAAGCCATGTCTTGTAATAAAAGCCGTGTCTCGAGCCAAGTGATGCAGAACAAGCAGCTGGTGAAAGGGGTGGTTGTACTTCATGCCCATAAGCAAGAAGAAAAGGTTAGCTGCCTCAAAAAGGCTTACAGTTACGAACGAGTGAATAAAGTACAGCCTGGGGCAGATGACTTCCATCACTCCTCTGCACTGGTATGAGATGGTCACTAAGTCCCTTTATTGTTTCTCTAGGAGCTCTGATGCTTCTTTTCACGTTTGACAAACTACTTCAATTTTACATACTGTCTCTCCCTATGTAAGAGAACAAAGGGCTTTAAATTTCCCTAGACGTTCCCCGTGCAATCTGTACCACTGATTTTACTGAGCGTTTTTGGTAAAGGTGGGTGTTTCTGGACAGCTCTTTGCGAGTAAGTTTTTAATTGGTGCCTGATTTGTCGGCACAGAGAGGGAGCTCTAGTAGTTCTTTCTGCAGTGTACTTCAGCCTTAAAGTTTCAGTGGGCTGATGTGAAATAAAAGGTGTTCAGCTACCTTGCTGATGCAGTCCAGATTGAAAGAGAAGGAGTTTGAGATACCGTTACGGTGCTGCTGCTGTGCTGCATTTTGCGTAGAAATAAGGTGGAGAAATTGACTCGTACTTTCCACGCTTGCCTCGTGTTGGTGCTGTTGTAACCCACATCTGCTCTGCTGCTGTCGAGCAGGAGTGTATGCTTGCCCTCTTCGGCTCACTAGATCTCCTTTATTCTTTTCTGCTACATTTTTCATCTGTGGAAGAATTCGGTTATCAACAAAAATATCCCCAGACCTCAGGATTCAGCAAAATAACATTCTTGGAAGACATTAGCCGTATGTCTGTCTCGTCAGATCGGCAGTACGAACTCATGGGAGGAGTTTAAAGTGGGTGACTTACAGCCCTGGTTATGAACAGGAGGAGGGGGAAGGCTGTGCATATTAAAGTTAAAAAGAAAGAAAAAATAAATAAATAGAAAAAATACACTGTTGCTGCCGGAACGTTTCTTTCAAAGAGCGTGACCTATCAACCCGTGTCTTAGAAGTGTCTCCTTGGAGGGGAAGGTAAGGTGATACCGTGGACTGGAAGAATATCCCCATCTTTGTTAACCTGAGTTCTGCTGATTGGCAAAACACAATTTCCTTCTAATAACGAATATAAAGAGCGCTCAGATAACCAGGTTTCTGTTAGAGGTGATCTTCGGCGTAAGAAGTGGTGGTGTGAAAGGGCAATGTGCTCTTCAGAAGGCTCCGGCATATTTGGGGTAGAAATGCTAAACAAATCGGATGGGGGAAGAGGGAAGCTACCGATGGCTGAAGGGAAGGTTATCTGGGGGGTCTGCTCCACCGTGCTCATCAGGCGCCATTGTCACTGACAGCCCTGCCAAGTATTTTAATTCTAGTGTTACCTTACATCGCTATTTCTCAGCCTAGTTTTGCCCAGGGCAGAAGTTGCAAAATTTTACGTAACCTGCATTCTTAACTTTCATTTTTATTAATGTATGTGGAAATAAAACATTATTTATAGTGTCAACACCTTTGTAACGGAGCACAAGATGGATTAGGAGAGGTTTGTGCTTGCTCTGCTGGCAGCTGCTGATGCCTTTAAATTTCGGTTTGGGAGTTTAAAAAACACCACATGCTCTCTCAGATGCGGAGCTCGCTTTCAGCTGGGGAGCAGAGTGAGCAGACAGATCCAGTGTGATGGCTCCAGGGACAGTGGTGTTACCAGTTCAAACAAAAGGAGGCACGAGAGCTAAGCTGGCATACGCTTGTTGGTGTGAACTCCTCACCTGGAGCTCGGTAATCTCATTTGTTTTGGCTCACTGTGTTGATGTCAGCAAGCTTTGGGCTGAGCTTTCTCAAACGGTGTGTTTTGAGAGTTAATTTTTTTTTCCTTTTATGAAGACCATGCCAAAACCGAGAGTCCAGGAATAAAAATGGAGAATAGTTGCTGTTGGATATGTGCTATAAAGGATGGAAAACCGTGTTTTTTTTAAAAAAAAAAAAATCCAAAAATTACCTGTTGCATTCCTTTTAGTATACATTGCAGGGTTCATTCTACTCAAATTAAACTTTGTTGTACCCTTTTCTCTGGAAGGGGAAACGAAACTGCCTGTGATTCCCTGCTCCTACTTCAGCCCTGTCCTGCCCTGCCTCTCCCTTCGCAGCTTACTGTATCCGCCGCCTCGTCTGCGCCTTGGACATGTCGTTGGTGGCCAGTTCAGATCTGAAGCATTTTAGCCAGATACGGTTTCGCTGATGTTTGTAAATAGAGGAGAAGTGTTTTGAAGCTGACTGAAGGAGATGGGGTGTCTGTAGTTGGGAGCCTGGGAGGCTTAATAACCGATGGGGAAGGTGTTCTGCCAGCACTCAGCTGACAAAGCGAGACGCTGAGCTGAAGGTGGGGAAGAGCTCTGACCTGCAGAGAGGCAAGGGCTTCTTCACAAAAGGAAGCCTTTAGGGCAAGGGATTAGTTACTGCTGTTGCAGTGTTGACGACTCCTAGCTCGACAAACGGCTGTTTAAAGGCGATGCTCTCTTGGCAGCGTGTAAACCAGCACAGCAGGCCGTGCGGTCCCCCCCGTTCTGGCGTTAACTCATTTCATGACATAATTTCAGAGCGGTTTTGAAATTACAGAAGTGCTTTTATTTTTCCCCTCCTGAGAGCCTCTGATTTCACTCTGTGTGTGTGTTTGTTTGTTCCAGGCACTCAAGTGCAGCGGTTTCCCTTGATGCCGCCGCGACACATGCCTCCCCACATGATGCACAGAGGGCCCCCGCCGGGGCCAGGGAGCTTTGGGATGCCTCCCCCCCACGGAATGAAAACCCCCTTCCCGCCTCCAGGTCACTTTGTGAGACCGGGGGGGATGCCGGGAAGCGGGGGGCCAGGCGGACCCGAGGATACCAGAGACGGGAGGCAGTTCAGGCCTTGATGCCGCCGCGACACATGCCTCCCCACATGATGCACAGAGGGCCCCCGCCGGGGCCAGGGAGCTTTGGGATGCCTCCCCCCCACGGAATGAAAACCCCCTTCCCGCCTCCAGGTCACTTTGTGAGACCGGGGGGGATGCCGGGAAGCGGGGGGCCAGGCGGACCCGAGGATACCAGAGACGGGAGGCAGTTCAGGAATGACAGGCAGACGTTCACGCCTAACAGAGACCAGGAGAGGTTTGGAAGGAGGTCTTTTGGAAATCGGGTAGAGAACGATCGCGAGCGCTACGGTAACCGCAACGATGACAGAGATCACGAGCGGCTGGGTAATCGCGACAGGCGAGACTGGGGACGAAGAAGCCCCGAACGCGATAGACACAGAGACTTGGAGGACAGAAACAGGCGGTCCAGTGGCCACCGAGACAGAGATTCGAGAGATAGGGAGTCCCGTAGAGACAAGGAAGAGAGTCGAGGAAAGGAGAAAGCGGAGATGACAGACAGGGCCGATGGCGACAAAAACCACGAGTCTCACAGCGGCAAAATGGAAGACGCAGACGTTGTTTCAGAACTTGCTGCGGGAGAGTCTGACCCTACGGGCGTAAAACCTGTTGAAGAGTTAACATCCGAGGCTACCTCATCTGTGGAACAGGCGGACAAGGAGATGGGCTCAGTGGCGGAGGCTCCTCGCTAGCGACTGGAAGTCGTCGAAAGATGACAGTGACATTTGTTGGAGTGTAGAGCTTTAGAGTTGTACAGTCTGCTGTATGATATTTGCTTCTGCTTCTATCACAGCCCCGCAGTAGTTGGTGGGGAATTGTAAGCAATTTGATTGCTTCCCTTCTATTTAAAATAGCCACAACATAACATGAAATACTGAAGATATGATTAAAATATTACCCATTTTTGCTGTAACTTTTTTAAAGTTTTGACTTTAAAAAGTTTACAAATCAGAAGTAGAAGTGCTTTCTATTTTTTTTTTTTTAATTTAAGAAAAGGTAACGGTGAAAGCTCCTCAAAACAATAGGGATGTGTTTTTAATAAACTCTATTTTCGTAACAAACTTTAACGTGTGCTATTCTTCCTACGCTGCACTGAAGTGGAAAAGGAGTGTTCAACATCTTAAAGTTTGAACTGTTGATGCTGTACTGGAGTCTAAATTAGACTGTTTTGTTTATATTTGTTAAAAAAAAAATACATCCGTTTGTGTAGCTATTCACAGAAGCAAATTTTTATTTGTAATAGTCATCTTGATTTTTAGATTGCTGCATTTTAATGATCTACTTGACCATACTAGGTAGAAGTTAGTGGTTTTAAAATGTTAATTAATTGAAGAGTTAACTGCTTAGTGTTTGCAATGCAATCAATTTTTAATTTTTTTTTTTTTCCCTCCCCCCCACCCCCCCACTCCAGTTGGTTCTGTGGTAAATGAAACGTTGCCCTGCTTAGCCTTTCTTTAAAAAGTGGACACCGTCAGACACACTCGGTCTGCTCTGCTTGTGATGTTGTAAAATGACTGTGTGCGGCGGGCGGGGAAGCACGCCGGGTCAGCAGCTTCTGTACCTGTTCGTCATCATTGATGCTTCTCGGGAAGTGGGCTGGAAGAGCAAGCGAGGACGCCGGAACCCGATACAAAATGCCAACCTATTTTTTTAAAACGGGGCTGGGAAAAGGGAGGGAGGCGGGCGGGCGGGCGCGCGGGGAGTTTAAAATGCCGCCTCTTCACTCCGCTCCGGGCTGCTGCCCTTGTCCGCGCTAACGCTGTCTGCCGCCTCTGGTCCCGCAAGAGGTAGGTGCTCAGTTTTTACCCACCTCGCGTTGTACCTGTGGGGCCGAGGGACGAAGAGCGTGCGCGCGCTCTCGCGTTTGTCTTTAAGTTCTACCATCCTGTCTCCGTACCACTTGGTGACTTTTGTCAGATTTTTAAGAGGGCAAATGCTGGTTCTTGGTGGTCGGCCCTTGAGTTTTGAAAGACAGCAGCGCTGCCCTGAGCGGGCAGAGCCCGGGCAGTCCCGCCCTGAACACGCTCAGCCGCACACCAGGCCTTTGCCCAGAGCTTGTTTAACTCCAGAAGTGTAGCGGGAAAATTGTATGAATCCTGTGCATATTTAATAGTTTTATTTTTTTTCTCCTTGATATAGGTGTGTTCTACTTTTAAAGTCGGGATTTTCCCCCTAAGCGAAGGGCAGCTGCTTTCTTACAGCAGTACTTTTTCATAGCTGCTCTGCGGCAGAGGGAATTTTTTCTGGGGGAGGGAGGGGGGTGGGAAGCAAACGTGGAGTGGCGGACCGGGGAGAGGACATATATTTTTATGTTCTTGCAACAGCAGAATAAAGAGAGAAAAAAAACCTGTTTACATACTTGTAGTGAACTCAGCTTCCATATGTTAAAACTTGTGTCCTTAATGGTTGTTTCATGCTGGGTCAGTGGAACTAACTTTTCATACAAAGCCAGACATTTATGTCTTATGTTTAAGACTTGTCTTAGTAAAAACTGCCATAATGCTGTAAGGAGGTAGGATATTTTTTTTAATGAGTACACTTTATTAAAAGATTTGAAGACAAGAACGAAAGAGACAGAAGGCTCCTCTGTTCACACAAACGCCACCTCACATGCTCTCCATTTCCCTCATTAGGAAGTTGCAAACAAAGCCCAGGGACACGTTGGACGGCCTTTGCGGAATGATTCCTTGCTGCCTCCTGACCGACCAGCGTCGCACCACCAGTGTAACTGCCTTGCCCTTCTACAAAACTGCCAAATGTCTGGCTTTAAAAGAAGCCAACCCAGAAAGTTGTACGTAAAGATCGATTAGCTCAGTGCAAGTGTCCCTTACTGGTGATAATTAGCAACTAAGACCTTGGTTACGGAGCCCCTGCCTGCCAGATCCAGCAATTTGTATGTAAACCGAGCATTACTTCTACAGCCTTCAATGCAGCATCAGCTTCTAGCGTGCCGTCAGCTAACCCGACACGAGGAAGCAGGTTTGGGAGGCGAGATCTGCACGTACCAGGCTCTCACGCAGCAAAGCTCAGCGCTGAGAACGGCTGGGAGAGGAGCCACCCGATAGGCAGAGCTGCCAGAGCTCCCGCTCCACCACAGCTCGGCCTGCAGTTGTCCAGCGCTTGCTGGTTTCCCCCCTTTGGGAAAGGGGAGATGACACAACTGGCCTCTGAACTTCAGCAACAGGCAGAGGTGATGCTGGTCGTTGGGGGTGCTCAGTGTTGGGCACCCCTGGGAGGGAGGCAGAAGGTGCAGTCACTGCCTTGATTCTGCTGCAGCAGCTGAGCCGGAGCAGAGGCTGACCCCAGGGAAGGGGCACAGGTGGGTAGTGCCTGCACACACCACTGTTCACCACCTGCAACAGATGCAAGTTTGAAGGGCTTTTGCACTATTCTTGCTGTACAGTCACAGCCATCCCCTTCGTAACAGGCTACTCTGCAATCTGGGTGTCCAGAGCCACAGCCAACTACTTCCGTGAATCTCTTCTGTACAAGATAAAGGAACATTGATACAAGTCTTCATTAAAATTAGCCATTTTCTCTATTAGAACTTGGAAGTCTGTGTTTCAGAGATGTACCAGAAAACAATGCAAGCCGGCACTAGTACACAGCAATTACACTGCTGAACAGCTTTATGAAATTAAATATGGAACTCCTGGCTACACTCATCCTTTTTAAGGAGAGACCTGTTCCATGCTAAACACCCACACAGCTTGGAGATAGCTGTCATCTTCACCCCGACTGCATGCCAGCCCCAGCAACCCAACCCACACAGCCCAAGGGGTGGATGAGGCCCAAGGACAGAGGCTGGAGTCGGACCGTTTCATGTGCTTAAGGCCTCCCCACTGCACACACACATGCTGCAGTCACACATGAGCACCACCAGTGTCACATACAGTCACATTTTACCAAAAGAAGGTATTTCTGCAGAGCAGCAATTGCCCTCAGGTACACAAACCCCCTGGCTGTAACATGCAGAGGGTGTCAGGTTATTACTGCAGAACATGGAATTCTGTCACAGGGAAACACACAACACCACCAACAGCACCACTGGGGTGAGGACTGAGCTCAGGTCTGCCTTGTCCCAGGGTGACTGGCTGGAAGCAACTCATTGGGTGCTGTTGGTGCCTACCAAGTTCACCACCAAGACAAGGAAGCCCAGGCCTACTTGCCCCTGTTAGCAAGTTGGCAGGTAAGGGTTTGGTGGTGGGTTTTTAGACACCAGGACCAAGGTGTATTTGCCCAGCAAGTTTATTATGCAAGTTTGAAACCTACAAATGCTGCAAACTTTGCCAGGAGGAAGCCCTGATACACACAGCGCCCACTGCTCTTGGGTGAGGAGCCTTGCCCAAGCTCCCAAGGCCCATCCTCTGCATCACACGGTGTTCCAGAAGTGTTGGTGTTCAGGGTGTGACCTCCACCACGCATCTCCCACTACACAGAACAGGGCTCCAGCTCCTGAAGTTACTATACTTAATGGTTACAGCAGGTGCTTTAGCAGAAGACTACAGAGACATTCCATCAGGGTCACTTTAATTGCAATATACATCATACAAAATTAAGTCAGTCTTCCCCAGCTTAAGTGGTACTCGGAACACAGAGTAGTAATGAGATTAAGTGATAAATCTTTTGCTTGCACAAGGAAGGGCAAGTACAGCGTTTGCAATGAAATACAGCCCATTTGTCACTGTCACCTTACACACCTCAGGTACAATACTTAGCTCTTCGCTATCCCAATTACACCACAAGCTAAGCGAGGGCCAGCATTTCCAGTTAATTTGCTCTCGTTATCTCCCCCTCTACCCAGGTCATCGCATTTTTCATGGACCTAAAAGAGAATTGAAAAATGTCTTAATTCATGTTATTGCGTAACTGATCAACATTTTTCACTACTCGCAGCAGTAGCAGCGGTGACAAGCAACATCACCAGCAGGGTCTGTTACACAACAGAGAACACAGTGTAACACTGAATGCCAAACCAATACTCATACTAAAAACTTAAGCCTAGACTTGTCCAAAAAGATAACCTGCCTTCAGCTGAATTTGAACAGGAAGTCACCAAACCCCCATGTTTCAAAGAGTTACTGCCAGTCCAAGAGCAAGTTCGGACTCCACATCAAGGCCGCCGTGACAGCACAAGGCTGATGGCTGCGCTGCAGGTGCCGTGCCGTGGCCACGCCATCCCAAGTGCCACTCCACCCAGCTCCCCCTGTGCCGTGGCCGTCAGCCCAAGCCCCTGTTGCACGGGAGCACAGGGGTCTCGGCACACACCGGAGCTGCAAGGGAAACAAGCCTGACAATGCTGATGGGCAGCACAGGTTAAGGCAGCAGCTACCAGACCAGGACTAGTGAACGGTGTCCTGAAGCGCCCGCTGCCATGACTTTCAGCAACGGCATTTGTGCCGGACCGCCAGTTCCTTCCTCCAGTCAGGTTGCTTTAGTCACTCACAGCTAGAAGCAGCAAAGTTAAATGGAGAGGAACATCTTCGGAAGGCAGGCATCTCACAGCAATGAAGTGCCACCCTAATACGCAGAGGACTTCCAGGCAGGGCTTCAAAGAACTCCCCACACTGGAAATCTTGCACTGCCAGTTCTATAACAAACACCAGAGACTGGCCTCCAGCATCAAGGAGTCTCCACTCATTGGCAAGACTGCTCCAGAGTCCCTGTAAAGCACCCAAGTAAGCACCAAGACACTTACCACCATGGTACGTCCGATGATGCTATATGGTCCACTCAGAGAAATGATGGAATCTTCTATTTCCACTTCTGCTACACCTCCTTTAGCAGTCACATTGCCAAGGTCTCCCACGTGCCTACACAAAGACACAGAAAAACTCACAGAAAATCGGTTGAATTGAAAGCTCTAAGTGATGGCCTGGACAACACAATACACATAGCTACTACACCAAAGTACTCTATCTTATCCTACAGGGCACACGTGTCCTCATTTACCACCACCAGTCAATCTCGAACACTTTAACTATTTTAACTCCTTTAGTTCAAGGGATGATTAAAATTCAGTCCTAGGTAGAATGTGAAACCAGAACCAGCTTTGGGGAAAGGAATACCACCACTCCCTAACAAGCCAAGCCACGAGCGCACAACTCTTATAGCCAAGAATTCCTCCATGCTGATGGCATCTCTCTCTGCTCAAAGAAAGTCTCAAATTAGGTGAAATAACCTTTCCTGCACATACACAGTTTGCTGTACATACTGCCACTATTCTTAAGAGCTTTTAATGTCTATCACAAATCAGCTGTTCCACCAGCAGCTGCAGGCTTTCAGTTTAAATAGGATTAGTAGAAGCAGTTTGTCAAGCAACAGGTCAAAGGGGGTGCACTAAGTGCTGCCCAAGTTCTCACTGGTATCAGGGATGACTCTTGAGTATCCTTGGCATTTTCCCCACACATTTGGCATTATACCCTACCACACAGCTTTTATCAGAGCTAGACCTCTGCCAGGACTTCCCCTAAGAATTAAGCCTCAAGCATTCAGTTTTCACTTAACTTCTGGACATTCCAACATATTGTTTCCTACACATCTGCCCCAAATAAACAATTCGGTCAAAAGACAAGGTGGTGTTCTGCAAGACTCTGCCATCCAGATTCAGACCCTTGAGTACTAATGTCTAACACTCTCCATGCACACAGGGTGGCCAGCTCAGCTCACCAAATGCTGACTACCAGCTCCTTCGACAGCATAGCACCAATTTCGTATTTTTAACCAAGTCCTATAACATCAGGTCAAGGTCAGTTTTCCCTTTGGGAATTTGTTTGCTTCCAGGAAGCTTCAGTCCAATTGTTTCAACTCTACACTAATAAAAGCATGATCTAGTTCTTATACCCTCCTAAGGAATCCCCCAGCCTACAGCTGCCTCAGTAGGCAGGTCAGTCCCACCAGAAGCAGGATTCGACACAGCAGAACCAGCACAAGCCATATGTTCATGCAGTTTTGACCTTTAGCACTGGAGCAGTCGGCTGCCAGTGAAGCCCTTGAGCACACCATTTCATGCTGCTCCGTCATCCGGACAGCTGGCTAGCAGCCAGCTTGCTCGGTCTGGCATGCAACTGATCACTCAGGTATGAGCTGATCACAGAAGGTGCAGTTATGCACTTCAATGTGAGCACCCGAAGGCTAACCACAATGCCAAGTTGGTCCCAGTGCTAGTCCAGACCCTACCTGTGCAAGACCAGCCCATCTTTTACACTTGTTCCCAGTTCCACTCACTACCACAGTGGCCTTCAGCTCTTGTGCAGTCTCCAAACAAGGCCAGCATACTATTTAAACCGCTTGCTCAGACACCAGGTCTCAAACATGTAAGGGTTCCCTGAAGGTAACTGGACTATGAAAACTGCTTCCAGGGGAAAAACCAGGTCCCAGCTCCCACTGAGGTACTCAGATACTCAGCACAAGCATCAGGCCCTGTACTGACACACAGCCCCCAAGGAGTACATGCTGTAGGTAGTACAGTACCTAACAGGCTAAGAACAGCCCAGCACACCCCATAAAAAGCCACCATGCCCAGGCACACACAGTTTTGTGTTCATCTTGCAGTCTCATCTAAAGCCTCAGCACCTTCCACTGATAATCCTGATCTGCCATATGAAAAGCCTGCATACGGCTCAACAACTGACAGTTCAGGGCCTCTGTTAACAAAAGCTGGCCCCAAAACAGAAGCGAAGCAAATCACCGCTGACCAAATAAAGCTCTAACACATGAATCCCCTATACTCGCATCCTGTGGAACCTTCACTCAGTAACAGCCTTTATTTCCTCCTCTTCCCAAGCTATGAAAAAGCAAAGAATATGTCCCAATGACATTTCACCCATGCTCTTGCAGTCAAGGTGTCTAACAAATCGCTTGCTCAGTTATCAGAGCCTTTGTTAAAGGACCCTAGAAGCCCTGCAGAAGTTAGCTGTTTTCTCCTGGTATCGCCCTAGCATTATTCACAAACTGGCCTCCCAAGCACAAAGTAGTACCAACATGGCTGCCGCACAGAGCAGCTACCCAGTAAGAGGCCAGGCGCATTGAACTCACCTTTCTGCATCCTTTGGTCCACCATGCTGCTTGCCTTCAGGATTGAAGTGAGAACCTGCACTGGTACACCCTGAAACAGAACACAGCCATTAAAAGATTTTTTTTTTCCCAGTAGCCAGTTTAAATCTGTCGCTTATACATTACACCAAGGTAGTCCTCCTATAGCCAGAGGAAGTGAAGTCACTAACAATGAAGCAGGTACTCTGCTGTTAGATGTTCCACTAATCCTCCACAAGTAAATAACCTACTACAGACCTACAAGTTCAATAAAGTAAGATTACTCATTCTAAAACTGTGGCTGAGTTCAAAGCTTCCTTATTTCTTAACACTAGGTTATCATGTATTTAAGCTAGTCCTTGATATGTCAGACCTTGACCACCAGCCTAATCATGTTCAAAGTATTAAATGGGAGGCAATTCCTTAGGAAATGTCATCATTTCTTAACACAGATTTGCAGTCACAAGACCCAAGTATGCTTAATACTAGTTGCTGCTGCAACGCTAGAGAAGCTCTTTAAAGCTGAGTAATCACATTACAGCCGTAACTCAAAAGCCTGGACAGACATCTTACCATTTGTATTGTCCCCAAATTCATGGACATGGAAGCCATGATCTCCATCAGTCAAGCCACTGATTCTTCCAGTAACTTTCACTGGTCCATTACCCTTTAACGAAAAGAATTTATTACCACAATGACTATGGCATTAAATAGCCTTGCGTTAAATGGAGCTGCCTAGTCAACAGAAAGCACTAGAGACTCCACTGCAAGTTCAGCTACCAAGACACGAACAATCGCATTAACTGATTCTATATGGCAACACAGTATTTCACAGAACGCCCGTGTTTATTTAGCCACTTAAAATAGACTCTTCCTATTATGCATCAACAAGCAAAAGGAATGCCTTTTATCAGATGGCTTGCTTTTGAGACTGATTCTGTACTTCCATTCAGAAGCACAAGCAACCCTGACCTCATTCCTCCTCTACAGATATAGTTTCGCCTGTATGCAGCCCCAACTTCTTCACCGAGTGTAAATGACTGACTGTTAAAAGGGCTCTGGCCACTCGGCAAGTAAAGCTCCCTTAAGCCCCACCCTGACAGGGGTAAACAACCTCCGCAGGAAGACCGAGGCCGGCTCCAGCACCGACCTCGGCCGCACACCCCGAGCAGGGCAGAAGC